TTGTTGATGACTACACCCGTTTCACTTGGGTTTATTTTTTTCGAAAGAAATTTGAAGTGTACACTGTATTTAAACACTTTCACACCTATGTTACTACCCAATTTGATGCTTGAATAAGTGTGCTACGATCGGATTTAAGGGGAGAGTATATTGATGGGGATTTCCAAAATTATTTAAAACAATATGGGAATCAACCCCAAAATTCCTGTCCAGGCACCCCACAACAAAGCGAGGTAGCAAAAAGGAAGAATGGGCATATCTTGAGTGTAGTCAGAACACTTCTACAGGATTCCCATGTACCCTCTTGGTTTTGGGTGGAGGAGGCCAACACTGTTGTGTATCTTATAAATCGTCTTCTGTCATTTGTTTTGAATAACTCTTCTCCTTTTCAATCTTTCTTTCACAAACCCCTAGACTTATCCATGCTCAAGGTCTTTGGTTGTTCTTGTTTTGTCCACCTTCCACCTCATGAACTCACAAAGTTAACTACACAAGTAGTTTTGTGTGCCTTTATGGGGTACAGTTCTAAACCTAAAGGGTTCTTTTGCTATGATCCTTCGGTCTGTCATATTAGAATCTCTCATAATGTAGTTTTTCTTGAAAGTGTCATTTTTTGAACAGTAAAATTCCCAACTCCTTCCACTTCCTTGTTGTACAGTTTTGATTCTACAGGTACCTCAAATATTCCTTTGTCACCTCCGCAACAACTTCAGACCTACTTCAGGAAGTAATGACCTTTAGTCTCAATGCCCCCCTGCTCCGCCACCCGTTGCTGATCTGATCACTCCAGCTGCCTTAGTAAGTGTACCTAACCTTCCCCTTGAACCTACTACTCTCGCTTTACATTAATCCTCTAGAATTTCTCGCCCACCTGACCATTATGGTTTTTCACCAAACCATAACTCCTTTTCTGCTATTTTATCTACCACAGACATTCCCAGATCTTACCAGCAAGCTATAGCAGAACCACACTAGAAAGATGCCATGGATTATGAGATTCGAGCCCTTCTTGAGAATGACACCCGGGATTTGGTCAAAGCTCCACCTGAGACATCTCTCATAGGAAGTCGATGGGTCTATTCTTGTGAACTAAAATCTGATGGAAGCCTAGACAGATACAAAGCTAGGCTGGTTGCACAAGGCTACAAACAGGAATATGGGATAGACTATGAGGAGATGTTTGCTTCTGTAGCTAAAATGACCAATGTACGACTTCTGATGGTTGTATCTATAGCCAAACAATGGACAATCCATTAGATGGATGTCAAGAATGCTTTTCTCCATGGGGAGTTGAAAGAGAGCCTATATGAAGCCCCCTCTTGGATATTGTACAGACCCGCAACTTGTTTGTCATTTGAAAATGTCACTTTATGGCCTGAAGCAACCTCCTAGGGCCTAGTTTGGGAAGTTTAGATCCGTCATCACTGGTGCTGGCTTTATCCAAAGTTCTTCTGATTATTCTTTATTCATCTTAAGGTGGAAGCAGGGAGTAACGACATTGCTCCTCTATGTCGATGATATTCTCATTACAGGGGATGATACAAAAGGAATTGCTAGGCTACAACAGTTACTCAGTGAGTCCTTTAAGATGAAGGACTTGGGGCCTTTGACATATTTCTTGGGACTTGAAGTGAGTAGAAACTCTCGGGGCTACTTTGTTAATCAACAAAAGTATGCGGTTGATCTTGTTAAACTAGCAAATCTTAGTGACTCTAAGATTGTGGATACCCCACTAGAACTGAACTTGAAACTCAACAGAGATGATGGTTCTCTTCTTGAAGATCCTACCCTTCATCATCAATTAGTGGGCAATTTGATATATCTCACCATGACCCGGCTAGATATATCTTATGCAGTCAGATAGTGAGCCAGTTTGTGTCTTCCCCAAGATAACCTCATTTATCTGTAGTTCATTGGATCATTAGATATGTGTGAGGCACCCTGTCACACGGGATATTCTTCTCTCCTCATCCCTTATTAATCTTATGGCTTATGCGGATGCTGATTGGGCTAGATGCCCTGACACCCGACGATCCACTATTGGATGGTGTGTATTCTTAGGCAATTCTCTTTTCTTGTGGAAGTGCAAGAAACAAGCTACTGTGTCCAAATCTTCCACTGGAGATGAATACAGGGCTATGTCTTCCATGTGTAGTGAGATCATATGGCTTCGGGCTCTTCTATTTGAAATACTTCATGAACCACCATCATTTGTTCCTCTCTATGCAGACAATGTCAGTGCAATTAAAATTGCTTCCAACCTCGTCTTCCATGAGCGCACTTAAACACATAAAAGTTGATTGCCACTTCATCCGCGATCTCCTTCTTGAGGGTATCATATCTCTTCCTCATGTCTCCTCTAGGCTCCAACTAGAAGACTTGTTGACTAAAGCAATGACTCGGGCTCGACATCTATTTCTCATGGACAAACTGATGCTTAGTCCTAGGCATTAGTTTGAGGGGGGAGCGTAGAGACTGTGTGAAGATCTAGCCGCAGGGCTATTTTTGTACTTTTACCTTTGTTTGTTGTATAACTATTCTATGTACTCTCTTTCTTTTGTACAGTAAGGGCAGATTTGTCCTTTTACCTTTTTAGTATAAATATTTCTTTTAGGTGTCGACTGACACAGTGTGTCACACCCACCAAATCTGTTGTATCTTTCTTTCTCTCTTTCTAAACTTTCAACTTGACTCTAACAATTAGAGGATTGTGAGACGGGCCTTGGTGTCTAGGAGGGGATTTTAATGTGATAAGATTCACAAGTGAGACAAACAATCCCAATCAAGAGGTGTCCACAAGTATGAGGAGGTTTAATGAGTTTTGGAGCTTGTGAGTTAAAAGAGATTCCTTTCCAACAGACCATCTTCACTTGGTCCAATTTAGAAGCTTCCCCTGTTTGTTCAAATTGGATAGGTTTGTTTTCAATGTAGTGTGGGAAGACCATTGGGGAAGTTTGATGGCTAGGGCCTTTCCTAGAGTTAACTCAGATCATTGCCCAATTAAAATTGGTTCAGAGGAGTTTTTGAATGGTTCCATTCCCTTTAGGTTTGAAAATATGTGGCTCACCCATCCAGATTTTCTTAATAGAGTGGAAGAATGGTGGAATGAGGAGGTGAGGAATGTTGAGTGGAAGGAAGTGAGGTTTMATAATAAAATACAACATATAAAATGCAAATTAAAGGAATGGAATAGAGAACATTTTGGAAGAATTGAGGAAAGAAAGATAAGAGTCACTTCTAAAATAGAATAGTTGGACATGAAGGAAAGTTAGGGGTTGATGACAGATGAGGATAGAAGAGTAAGGTGGACATTAAGAAAGGAGCTAGAGGAGATTTTGCTAAGAGAAGAGATTTGTCGGAGGCAAAAGTTGAGACATAAGTGGATCAATGAGGGGGATGGTAATACAAAATTCTTCCCTGCAATAGCCAATGGTAGGAGAAGGAAAAATGTTATAGATAAATTGGAAGTAAATGGTGAAATCTCAAGGGGCCAAGAGGAAATTGCATCATGTTTTGTTGATCACTTTAAAGAAGTCTATAAAAAGGTGGGTGAGGGAGGAGTCATGGTGGAAGGGTTGGATTGGCCCAGGATGGATCTAGGAGTGGCAAATCAATTGGAACGAGACTTTGAACTGGAAGAAATTAGGAGGGCTGTTATGGATAGATCGAAAGCGCCAGGGCCGGACGGGTTCACAATGGCTTTTTATCAGGATTGTTGGGAGATAATCAAATATGATTTGTTGGCGGTGTTTGAGGAGTTTGCAGAGGAACATTTTATTAGCCCTAGAATTAATTCGACTTTTTTGGCTTTGATACCCAAGAAGGTAGATGCCCTAAGGCCGAAAGACTTCAGACCCATAAGCTTGGTGACTAGCATGTATAAAATCCTGGCTAAAGTCCTCTCACTAAGATTAAAAGTGGCCCTCCCAAATATGATCTCTCAATCTCAAGGAGCTTTCATTCATGGGAGACAAATTACAGGCCAAATAATGATAGCAAATGAATGTGTGGAGGATTTTAAGAGAAGGGGGAAAGGAGGCTTTGTGTGTAAGTTAGATCTGGAGAAGGCTTATGATATGGTGGATTGGGTATTCCTTTTGGAAGTCTTGTAGTGTTATGGTTTTGGGGAAAGATGGTGTAGCTGGATTGTAGGGTGCTTGAAAACTTGTCATTATTTGGTGCTATTGAATGGTGTGGTAAGGGAGTTTTTTCCAGCTACAAGGGGACTAAGACAAGGGAACCCTCCCTCCCCTTTTCTTTTTACTCTCATAGCGGATGTCTTTAGCAGAATTCTCCAAAGGGTAAACAAGTTGGGTTATTTTAGAGGTTGGAGAGTGGGTAGGAGTAATATGGTAGTGACTCGCAATTTGCAGATGATACATTCATTTTTTGTGAGGGTGGACATCCTAGGAAAGCAAGCTTGAATCTCCTAATTCTTGTTCTCAATAAAAGATTCCCATGGTTCGACAGATGATGAAGCAACAAATCTTCTGCAACCTGACTTTTCATTTAAGCTCAAAAATAACAAACCGTTGTTTCAACTTTCCAGGTATGTAACCTTTTCTTTTCCTTCTACACTTTGAAAGACAATTGCAGTTTGGAATTTTTATTAAATGTTACACTTTTTTTTCTGTGTTTAGACAGTTTTGGTTGACATTTGACTAAAATTACATTTCGATAGACTTACTGTGTTTTTCATATTCACCCCAAAGTTTCTGTCGGTAGTTCTTGAACCTGACATATGTCACACGACATTTTTTTGACATTTCACGACATTTTAAACCATGATTATAAGAGATGAGACTGTAATGTAATTGGGGATGATAATGTTGATATCTTTTTCATAAGAATTTGAGCTAGAGTTCTGGTGACACCCTGGCCACAAGGTATTATTAGGAAGATGTAGCTGACAACCTTGTTAATGTCGACAACCCTTTGTTCAACTATCATATGCATCACCATCAAAGAATATGTTCTAATTCATCCCAGTTCTCTTATAGGCACTTCCTTCCAAAGTACGCTCTATACTTCCATCAAATGTTGTTCCTGTGGTTCTTACCTACCAGAACAAGAACTGGAATATGCTCTATTATGGGGATCGTGCCCTTAAACGATTTGATCCCAGCTGGAGAAATTTTGCAATGGACAACAACCTGAGAACTGGAGATGGCATAATCTTTGAACTTGTAGAGTGCAGTGCTAAGATTGTCAAGTTCAGAGTGCAAATTCTCAGTGGTGACATTCCATCTGATTTCCTAAAAAGGATTGATGGTGAGAGTTTAGAGGCACCTATTTTAATTGAGTAAGATGAGGATTTGTTGATTTAATGCAAGGATATTTTCTTCATAGCTATTGTGTAATGTTTCCTGAGCTTCATGTTCAATTCCATGTATGTTTTTCTTTTCAACATCATAGAAAGATAATGTTTTAATATATGCAGATTGAGGTTCTCGCTATAAATGTGCCTAGTAGAAACATGTACTTGCTGTCTTTTTCATTTTTACTTTTTAACTCTTTAAAATCAATTTCTGCATCTTGCAGTAATTTGTTTCTTGACATATCTATGGACTTCTGTTGAATAAGCCATTGGTAAACAATTTTTAAACGATTGTCATGAACTGCTAGTCTTATTATTACTTTATCTAGTTTTAGGTTTGGAAGGTTAAAAGCCCTCCTTATTTGATTGTTTGACCTTAACTAAAGAATTGCCCCAGGATTATGTGATTTGATTTTACTTCATGGTCGCATGAATGTATTACTGATCATGAGAATAATATATCTTTCCATTAGATATTTCATAGAATTTGTTGGTAAGGTTTTCCTTAACTAATATCTAATAGTAGATGAATTTAAGTTTACTCAAGGATGAGGCTTGTTAGTCAGTACTCAGTACAACATTGCTAGCTTTTACTACTTATCTTGTAATATTTTTCCTTTTAGCTTGATTTGTATTTTCTTACTGCTAATGTTTGTAAATTTTGCTTTTTAAATTATTTTCTACAAATTACACTTACTCGGTATGAGGTATGAGAATGGTTGAGATAATTTGAGTTTAATAAGGATAATTGGTGTGTGGTGTTTTGATTGCGGTAGGGTCAGGGTGAGATCAGTTTGATGGACAATGGAACTTATCTTTGTTAAGCAAGTAGCTCAGTTGTCAACGGTAACATAATCATTGTAATCCATATTATAATGGAGGCTGAAATTCTTTCCTTCTTTTCTTCTCTCTTTTTTTATTATTCGTCATTTTGCTTTATTCTCAAGCAATCAATTATTGTTGGCTGTTGACCAAAAAAAAAATTATTGTTGGCTGTTGACCAAAAAAAAAATTATTGTTGGCTATTGTACAAGTTGGTATCAAAGTAATATTGCACTTTTCCTGAAGTACGTCACTGTCACCATTTATACAGATGATGTCACCAGATGTATAGTTGATCTTCAGCCCATTAGAAAACCCTATATTCTGGTAAGGTTTGATTTTAGGGTTATTTTGAATCAAGTTGCAGATTGGTTTGAAGCCATTTCCTTTTTTTATTTATTGATTTTACATGAAGATACAGATTTGATTGTAGTAACTAGTTCGTCATCATGCAAGAATCTTTCTTTTCTTTTTTATGTTTTCATGGGGCTAAACAATGGGAGGTAGCCCATCCTCCAAACCCATGAACCTCCAACCCTGGTGAAGGCAGGACTCCATCTTAAGTTTCACTACAACTAGCCTGAGCCCATACCAACTAAGCCAGCTGGTCAGCACCTTCATGCGTGAATCTTTCGGATTATGATCACCTGTACTTGATCTGAGTCACTTTTTGGAATAGAACAAAAGAAATTTAACATTTTTCTGTTGCAGAATTAATACTTTGGATTTTTTCTTGCTATCTATATTTTTGCCCTGCCTAAAGTTTTTTTTTGAGCTTTGCTTTTTGCCTATGTTCTCTCATGCTATGAGTTGTTGCTGGTTTCTGAATATTGTTTTGATGATTTGGCATTCAATGGATCATAGTTGAATTTGGTCCTATGTGTTTTGCTCCTTTTCTCTTGATGCTTGGAACTATGGCAAGTTGTTAGGGTTGCCACAAGAATTGATTGTGTGATTTTTCAATGCTGTGCGAGATTGTTCCTTAGTATTTTTTCTTGTTTGTTGACGGAGTTGTGGCTATTTGTTTACTACTTGGTGGTGATTGTGGCAGAATGGCTATTTTGTTTGACTTTAAGCGTAGTATGGGTGGTTATATGGGGACAAGAGACTCCCAATGGCCAAATAATTATAGTGAAATTTGGATTGAAACAATTTATTTCGAGTGGTCACAGTCAACCAAGCTCTCAATTGGAGGTTGGGGCAAGTTTTATTATCTCATGAGAATTGAAGCTGCAGGCAGATGATCCTACATATGTTAAATGGGAATTGGAGAGTCTGATAGTATATGTTTTGTGTGGTCATGTATAGCCTGCAACTATATGTTCCTCTCTACATCAAAGGAAATTTGGAGAAAAGCTACAATTACTTATTCCTAGGCTAATAACACAGCCAAAATTAACTAGCTGATAAGAGAAACTATTACTTCTCTTCATTGCATTTAGGAGGAGATTGACTGCTTTGGATTGGAGAGATCCCATTGATGTTGATTAGTGTAGGAAGTTTTTTGAGAAGAACACGGTGTTTGGTTTCGTTGTCGGGCTGAATTTTGAATTTGATTTCATTGGCAGTATATACTATTGCAGATGTTTTGGCCCTTCCAACAACATACTTGTTTAGGGAGAAGAGAGGAGGGTAGCTTTTTTTTCAGACTTAAAAGAAGAGCAATTTGCTTCATTTTTCTATCAAATAAAAAATAAGGGGTAAGATCACAATGGTCAGAAGTTAAATCCTCACTTGAAGCTTGAGAGGTTTAAGCCTTTTTTGGCTTATCTTGATGTGATGGTGATAATCAACCATCTATTTTTGATGTGATGGACAAGTTTAAAAGCCTTTTTGCTTATCTTGAGATTAGTGGAGTGCCTACATTTGTAGACACTAGTGCTCCTATTGTCTTTTAAAATAAAGTCCTATACTTGTTTTTTTTTTTTCGATTAATAACGGAAATTCATTGAATTTATACAAGAAAGGATTACAAACAAACAGAGGGAGGTAAACTGTCTTAACTATCCCACAAGCACAAAATGAACAGAATTAGAAGTTGGATCCAGTCACAACAAAGTTGCTTAGACACTCCTCAACAGAATGGTGTAGCTGAGCATAAGAATGGGCATGTTCTTAATGTTGTGAGAACTTTGTTAATTGAATCTCATGCTCCACCCTCATTTTGGGTAGAAGCAGCCAGCACAAATGTGTATTTGATCAACTGTTTTCCTTCCTCTGTTCTTGTGAATACTTATCCCTTTTAGAAGCTTTTTGGTCATCCTCCCGACCTATCTAATCTTCATGTTTTTGGTTGCTTATGTTTTGTACATCTTCCTTCTTGTGAACATTTCAAATTGTTTGCTCAATCTGTTATGTGTAGATTTGTAGGGAATAGTTTAGATCACAAGAGTTTTCTATGTTATGATTTTCTATCCATCGTATTCATATTTCTCGGAATGTTGTGTTTCTGCAATATATCTCTTTCTTTGCTAGAGTTGCTAGATTGCTTGCACCCTCTATCTCTATTTTGCAGAACTTTGATTCCAAGGGTCTTTCTCCTCCAACTGTGAAGGACCTTCTATCTTGTCTTCTCTCGCAAGTGCMTATGTGCTCTAGACCCTACGCCTACAACCCCCTTCCTTCCAATCTTGAACATCATCCATCTGCTCCTCCAGTAAGTGATATTCCTTCCTCAAATACTAGTTCTTCCATTTCTATTCATCATTTTACTTGTATTTTTCGACTATCTGACCATTATGGTTTTCCTTCAAACCGTAGCTCTTTCTCTACTGTCTTATCCTCCACAGATATTTCTTATTCATGCTAGCAAGTCATTAGTACAAAGTGGAAAGAGGCCATGGATGCAGAGATTCATGCTTTACATGAGAATGACACCTAGGACCTTGTGCCTACCCCTCCAGATATCTCTATTGTTGGGAGTCATTGGTATATATTGTTAAACTAAAGTCATATGGCTCTTTTGTCTGGTATATGGCTTGGTTAGTTGCTTAAGAATACAAGTAAGAGTGTGGAATTGCTTATGAGGAGATGTTTGCTCCAGTTGCTAAAATTACTATAGTCTGTGTCCTTTTAGCTTTGTCTAACGTCCAATCTTGGTCCATTCATCAGTTTGATGTGAAGAATGCCTTCTTCATGGTCAATTGAAGGAGAATGTTTATATGAATCCCCTCCTAGATATTGCAATGATCCTTCTCTAGTTTGTAGGCTAAAGAAGTCCTTATATTGGTTGAAGTAGGCTCCTCAAGCATGGCTTGAAAGGTCATGGGATGTTGTTATTGCAACAGGATACAGTTAAAGCTCCTCTAACTACTTACTCTTAGCCTGTAAGAGACCTTAGGGTATTACTATCCTCTTATTATATGTTGATGATATGCTATTGACTGAGAATGATGATGAGGGGATTCGTGAGTTGAAGTCGCTTCTTCATAACTCCTTTCACATGAAGGATTTGAGTTTTCTTATTTCTTGGGTTTGGAAGTTCGTCATAATGCTTGAGGATATTTTGTGTGCTGACAAAAATGTTCCATTGATCTTGTCAAACTAGCCAACATTACATATAATAAGCATGTTAATACTCCTTTAGAGCTGAATGCTAAGTTGTCCAAATTAGAAGGCCCATTACTTCTTGACGCCACTCTATATAGACAGATTGTGGAGTCTCTAATTTATCTTAGTATGATTCGACCTAATATTTCTCATGCTGTTCAAGTTGTAAGTCAGTTTGTCTTTGCTCCTCGTTTGCTTCACTTGATTGTAGTTGCCCAGACACCTATCACTCTACTACTGGGTGGTGTGTGTTTTAGGTGATTCTCTCCTCTCTTGGAAATGCAATATGTAATAAGATTGTTTTCAAGTTTTCTACAAAGCAGAGTATAGGGTGATGTCTTCTCTGTGTAGTGAGCTAGTTTGGCTATAGTCTTTATTTTTGACTCTTGGTGCTCCCAATCCTACACCCATTCCTCTTTATGCAGATAATACTAATGCTATCAAGATTGCATCAAATCCTATTTATCATGAGAGGACTAAGCATATAGAGGTGGATTGTAACTTTATTAGAGAAATGTTCCTTGTTAGCTCTATTACTCATCCTCATGTAGCCTCCAACTTGCAGATTGCTCATATCTTCATAAAGGCTGTCTCGTCCCCAACATCTCTTTCTTGTAGGAAAATTGATGCTTATACCCCTGCATCAGTTTGAGGGTGAGTGTGAAGAGACTTGATAATCATATTAGCATAGCTCTTATTGTACACTATATATCAGCTTTTTTGTTTTATTTTTCCTTTCAGCCCATAAGGGAACTTTTGTAATTATATAGTATGCTATGTTTAATATACAAGAGGCCTTTTGGGGTGGGGTCAACTGATTTTACTCATCACCCCTAGAATTGTTTTTTGCTTTCTCATACTAGGGTT